CATTTTTCTCTCTCTCTTGTTTGAATATCCAAATTTCTTGTTCTATTTTGTGACTAATTTCAATGAGTTCCTTCATGATTTCTTCTGTTTATTTGTTTTAAGAAGTTGATTGATATTGTCTCTCTCTGCAATCATTGCCTCGATATTGTGGTCCTTCCAGTAAAGTATTCACAGGTATTTACGTCTACTTCTAGGTATCGATACTTTTGCAGCTTTGGATATGTTCGAAGAGAATTTTTCCATTTTTTTTCAATCGTTTTGTGATTTAATTCTTCGTTGCACAGTTCTTCAAGCTTTTCTGTGATTTTTTTCCAATGTTCTTTTATTCTGTTGGAAATTCTCAATTTTGAATTTTATGGTTGTTAAAATTGGTCTGTGGGTCACTGATTGCACTTTTCAGAATTTTCCATTGTGTTGTGGGTGCGATGTTGTAATTTATCGCTGTGATGTCTATTGCGGATTCTGTGCCTGTGGACTTGGATAGATAGGTGTTATTTTTGTTATTTAACGGTGTAAGGTCGAGGTCGGTTAGCATGTCCTCAACCTGCTTACCTTTGTTATCCTGGAAAGGTGATCCCCAAGTTGGTCTTTCGGCGTTAAATTCACCAAGTATGATTGCGATATCCGAAGACGCTTCACTTAATGTCTCTATCAGGCCTGTATTGATGCTAGTATTATCGTGGTCATAAACATTTATGATTGGAATTGTTTTATCTGTAAGATAGATTTCTATTGCCTGAGCTTCTGTCGTGCGCTCTAGGCTCACTCTGATTATAGGCGATTTCCTTAAATTTGATTTCTAGAGTTTTAATCAAAACGGCAAGTCCTTCTCCGAATTTTCCCGGTCTGTCCTTTCGTAGTGTTGTATAATCTTTGAAATTGAATCTCAGATTATGATTCAATTTTGTCTCCTGAGGACAATTAATATTTTCATTGTTGTCACAGAGAAGGCAAGTCAGCTCTTTATTTTCCTCTGGGTACCATTTATATTGAGTTTGTAGTAGATTGAATTGTGTCCTCGTAGTAGATTTCTCATCATGTGCTCGAGCTGCAGCTCCTGACGCGGCGGTTACCCCGGACGCGGTAGCATTACTGGAGATATCAGTTTTGCTCTTCATTTGAAAATGGGTGCCGTTGCAACGTTAGTCATCTTCGAAACTAACCAGAATTTGGTTAAATATTCCAAGGGTCCAGGGGGGACCGCAAGGAGGTGTGGTCGGACTTCTCCCCTTCCCCCTGGAATGCCGTCACTACAGGATAAAGCACTCTTGGTGAATTCTTTTAATTGTGATTCAGAATCTGCCACTGAAGCTTTACGAGCGTTTCGTTCCTTTAAAGGTATTCGAAGCGGTAATGGACCAATGAGTTGCTACTCTCTAAAGCGATTGATTAAAGGTTTTGAGGAAACTGGATCTCTGGAAACAAAACCTAGGAGTGAAGACCATCGACAGGCAAGTCAGTGGCTGTTACGGTTTTGCAGAATGCTGAATCTATTGAAACGTTATCCACGTATGGAGAAGTAAGTGCTAGACAAGTTTCTCGACAAACGGGGATTTCGTATGGAACAGTTTGGAGAGAACACGCATTTAGAATTTTTCTATAAAAATACCCTAAAAAAAATTCAAAGTTTTCACGAGTTGAAAGTCAGCGATTTTGAGAAGCGTCAAGAATTCGCTACATGGGTTTTCCGGCAAATTGATATTGATGAAAACTGACTGTCAAATGTTCTAAGAACAGATGATGCTCACTTTTCTCTAAAGGGAGAATTTAACATTCAAAACTGCCTCATTTTGGCAACAGAAAAACCTTAGGATTTTTAAAGAAATACTACTTCATCAGCACAGAGTTACAGTTTTGTGTGGGTTCACTTCTTTTATTTTTGGGCCAATTTTCTTTGAAAAAATCAATGGAAAAACTTTCAAAATAGTTTTTGTAACTGATGAACGTTTATGTTCAACTTTTGAGAGAAAAGGTTATTCCCATATTGCAAGACAGACAAGCACTAAGCGAAATAACATTCATGCAAGATGGAGGACCTCCTCATATCTCCCGCGGTGCCAAACAATTGCTGAAGGATACGTTCGGTGAAATTCGTTGATAAGTCGCCACTTTATATCCCAGTGGCCTCCAATATCACCAGACTTGACGCCTTACAATTTCGGTTATGGGGGTACATTAAGTCGCGTTTTTATCGATGCCGGCCTACTACATTGGCCATGTTGAAGGCTTCTATCAGATGGCACGTTTTTATAAATTTCAACTATTTAATTGTGACCATTCTGTCATCTATCGTCTGCAGGCGGTGTTTGAGAATGAAGGGCGCCACATTGAGCAAGGATTGTGACCTAATAAAAGAGAGAAGGCAGTTACCTCATGTGTCATATTTTGCAGCTCTTTGTTTTGGGTAATGGGAATAATAAATGCTGTCCTCACATCTTGACTCTTTTTTTTTCTGTGAACAGTAATTTTTTGTTTGTCATTTTCCCACATCTTATATTATGTCGTGCAGGCCAAAGTGTTATAACTTCTCGAATAACACTGGTATACACAATTTTAATCCTTATGTTTAGTTTATCGCTTTTCGCTCATTAGAAGAAGTAGCATAAGGAATATTCTCTGTATCCCCCCCTACTTTAGAAATTTTGCGCAAAAAATAATACAAATGATTTTGCTACCACGTTTTTCAACGCAAAAGGTCGATTTAAAAATGATTTTTTTAGGGGATACATTTTCAAAATTATGTACAGTATAATAAACAATGATAACATTTGACAAACCCATAGGATATTTGGCATAAAGTACGACAAATATATTTTGTCACTACCCTCTATATTTCATCTTTGGATCATGACAAATATCCAGTTAAATAGTCAAGTGTCGCCAATTAGTCAAGAAACTATACATTCCTTATAGCACGAAATCCTATTAGTAGTGCCATCATAATTTTTGGTGCTATATTAACATTTCAAAAATCGTGTAGTGATATCAGTAGTTATTTTCAAACATTCAATCTATTTCACAAAACTCCATCTAAAATATAAATATTTTTTGCTACATGTTTTAATTTGCATATATCTATTTTACATATCTCAGATTGTATTTAAAATCCTTACCGTTTCTTCTAACTTTTGGCGAAATGGTGTTTTATTAATTTATCATTTGATATTATTTGGGTTCTTTCCTGGTATTTAAAAAGGAAAAATACGTGTCGTTCAGTTATATTTTTTCAATTTATCAAACATTTTGGCCGCTGAATAGCTGATTCTGGTAGAGCGCCATCTAGCGAATAAAGTTGTAACTAAAATCAATTTCGAATTTTTCATTATTTGCCATAAAAAATCCCATTGCATCCTGAACACAATGGTGTTTACCGCATTGCTCTAGCGCAAATATTCGCGGAGTTATTAATTTTTAAAGTTGTGCGGGACTTTTGGATCACCCTGTATATATATATATATATATATATATGTGATGATGAGTTGCTGTCGACTTATCTGTGATGAGATCCTGTCGACTCATGTAATGAGAGTGAGAATTCCAGTAGCTTTTGTAGAGATCCTGTCGACTACTGAAATGATGTTGAAGTCCTGGTAGCTCTTGTTGTACTGTGTTGACCAAGAGGAACAGTCAGGATGTAGAGTTTTCCAGTACCTCTCTGCACCTTGGAAGACCTTTAAAAGTTCTCACAAAATACAGGCAGTCGTGGTCGAGGCAGAGTGGAAAGCTGGGGATATCCACACAAAAAACGAAGACACAGTTACACTAAGAAAGTTCCGTTAACAGATAAAAGCTGAGCTAGAAGCGCAAGATGGAGATAGACGAGTTCTTCCTAATTACATGTTGGATGAGATCGAAATAACATACGACCGACGCGGCTTGCACTAAGGGTGAACTAAACTAAACTGACTGAACTGTACTGAGCTGTCAAGTCCCTGTAAAAGTGATGTATTTATAGTTTAAAAGACGGGGGGGGGGGGGGACCTTATGTGACAGGGGCGTTTGAGAAAGGGGCGCCTTTACCTGTCCAGGTGTGAGAGGGGTCTCTGCATTCCACCACATGTGACAGTGTGGGTGGCCTGTCGTGGGAACTGTGAATCTACCTGATTTATGACTTCCCTCTTTAGACTTTGTTGTTTTTGGCAATACTATGCTCGATCTCTGCTTTAGCTCAACTTTTAAATCTATTACAGATTAAATTTATTTATCCACTTTGTACAAATAACATTACATAGGGTGATGTAAAGACACAGATTAATCATGCGCATAATTATTTATAGATGTGTTTCTATATACAACATGACAATCTTGTTATAAGTTATCTACACAATATGAGGTTGTTGTTTTAAATTACCATATATATATATATATATAATAAAAGGATTTAAAAGAGCGAATGTTTATTTTATACATAAAACGAACTTCTACTGTCCTTACTGCGATGAAAAAATATATTGGGAGGGCTTGGCTCATCAGTGGTGAACCCTCCCAGCGGTTTCGCCAATTTAATCCACCAGACCGCTTCTCAGAGCTCTAATACTGTATTGGATCATTCTGCTTTTATATGCTACACTGAAGGATGGAATCTTAGGAATGGTTTTCAAGTAAACTATGGACATAAGCTTATAGGACAGTAGAATTACATTCAAATATTCGCTTCGAGCAATGCTCTTCAGCAAACTATAAAGACAAGAACATTAGGAATAAATTAACACAAAGCAATAACGCGCCATCTATACATATAAAATAAAAGGATTTAAAAGCGCGAATGTTTATTTTATACATAAAACGAACTTCTACTGTCCTTACTGCGATGAAAAAATATATTGGGAGGGCTTGGCTCATCAGTGGTGAACCCTCCCAGCGGTTTCCGCCAATTTAATCCATATATATATATGTTAAATGAAAATATTTTATTTAAAATTATAATTTCATAGATACAAATACTCTGCTAAATCGACCGCCAGAGGTCACTCTTCCCCTATAAAAACATCCTTGTTGTTGTCTCCCGTGGTGTAGCGGTTATCACGTGTGCTTCACACGCACAAGGTCCCCGGTTCGATCCCGGGCGGGAACATTTTTTCCCGCGCCTGCCCATCCATTGCTGGCCAGCGCACCTCCAAATGTGCCAACTGCTGCTCCAAGGGCCTTCCTGACAAGCACGAGGCGAGAGCCTCAAGCTGCCCCATCCTGAAGTCTAGGGCCCTCAAGTTCTAGGCTTCAAGGACCTTCTGCCTCCAATTCCATCTGCCACTTCTACTGGATTCCTGGCCAATTCAATGCTCCTGCCTCACTGCACCCTGGCGCTGTTACCCTGCTTGCCCAACGTTTCCACTACCCCTGCGACACATCTCCTGCCGCCAGATCCTAGGGTCCCTTGCCACCTGACATCGCGCTTGGGCTCAAAAATCATAACTTTTGGTTAGTAGCCCGTAAAACCATATTTTCTCTCTCCCGTTGGCCGGCTCAATTTTTTGTACATTATGTAAATAAGCTTTTCATTTTTTTTTATTCTTACGCCTTAATCCAGGCAGTACTTTTACCAAATTATGTCTTTTATATATCCCATAAGCTCAATTAAAACAACCTCTGATAAAAACTATTTTTGTTATTATACTTTCAAGATTTTTGTCATGACTGAATTACCATAATCCTCAACATGATCTAAATTCAAGCAGAAAATCTCTCTTTTCTTTTTATAACACATATATATATATATAGATGGAAATATATATATTAAAAAAGGCATATCCTGACCAGGAGCACATGTGCTTTACAGAAGGCAGAGCGCCATCTGGTGGAACAGAAATAAAATAAACATTGATTTAGCCTGTTCCCTGATATTTGGCCAACCCAATTTCTTGATAAATCAAGAAAAGCCATCCGCGAACGCGTTTCGCGCTTTTGGCGCTCGTCAGCGTAGAGTAGGCTGAACCACTGCGACCAAAAAATATTTTTTGGTCCCAGTGACTTCTTGAAAAAACCAAGAAATGGGTATTTAAGGCCAAACTTGCGTAAATACGCTTAGCACGTGAAAAAACGAAAGAAAAAAAAAAGATAAAAAGATCAGGTGTTGAAATCAATATTAAAAATGGCATATATATTGAAGATTGAGCATCCATAATTAAAATATATATGCAACTTATATTCAACCATATGTAAATATATGTGATAATGTTATATATATATATATTGGTCTTTTTTTTGCAACTGGGGCTATAACAATTTGGGATATTATTGCGTTACCTCCAAAAAGCGTATTATTTTAACAGACAATTCTCTCAATAAATATCTGTAGCACTGAAGCCAATATGTATTATATATAAGAACAATTTTACCATTATATATACACCACACATCATCAAAGTATGGGCTAACAGGAAACCTATATGCAACACAACAAAAGATGGTAAAACCTCTCCATTTCTCTCCTAACAACCCGCCAATAAAAAGGTTAAATTGCGCCCCTTTTTTAAAAAAAAAAAGCTCTCTATTCTCCTTTAAATCAAATACCGCTTGGGGGGCGCAGGATGTATAGAGATTGGTATGGATTGAATCAATTGAAGTAAGAGGTGTTTCTGGCTATAGACGGTAACTGGATGAGTGAGATGGAATTCTGTTTTTTATGGCGTACAAATAACACCTATTTACACATCTCTTTCACTATCTTCTCCCTATGTCTACGTTAGCTTAAAAAAACTGCATTTCACATGTGTAGACATGTAGTGCCTTTACAATGAAAGCAGTCGCTAACTTTTACCCACCATGATTTACGAGATAATAAAAAAAAAATCCAACCAATCGGTATTCGAATCCCAGCTGCTATGCAAATTTGTTTTCGACATGTGAGTTTTGGCAAAGTATTTAAGAGTTTGAAATAAACCTTGGTATTATGACATCCTTTATCATCATTACCAAACAAACCAAGACCTGATATACTATTTATATATATTAGGGATAGTGTATTAGGGATAATAATTATTTTTTTTAAAACCCTAAAAGATCACGGTAATCCCTTCTAACCATGTTTTATCACATCCAATTCTATCGAATTTATTTGGAAATTATATTCAGCGCCACCAAAGAGAAAATTGGATTTATGACCATCTTTTGAGATATTTTTGTTGATGTATTTTTAAAAGGCAAATTTATAAAACACCATTTAAGAAACTATGTTTATTCAATGCTATTTTTCTTAATTGTTAATTTTTCTTTTGACAATTCTGTTACCTACTCTACTACAATTATTGTAAATAGTTTCACACGCAATTATCCAGATCGGATATAGCGTGTCTTGTTTGCAACTGGTAAATAAAATAATTATATATATATATATATATATATGTCATAATTTGCATAATACCCAAGAGATATAATTTATTTTCATCGTAATTAGAATGTTAAAATGTAAATACAAATTATTCCGTCTATAAATCTGTACAAATTAAACGTGGGAGCCAGCGCGCGCGGGCGAATGCTACGGCCACCGCCGCGCGCGTGCTCACGAGTGTGGAACAAGTTCTTTTTTGACGCATACATGCACAACGGTCGCGCCCTTCCGTTCGACCACGACGGATACGACATATATATATATTTAGAATAGAGACTTAACTAATATGTGGTGACTTTAATTAAAAAGACATATATAGGATCAAAATAGCATTTATTTTACCAATATTTCAGTTAGCTGAACGCCAACCTTTATCACGGTATTATAACATATAAAAATATGCAATTTTAATTAAATATATATATGTTAAGGCACAATTTACCTTTTTTAAAATATATATATATATATATAAATATAAAAATAAATAGTTGTATAGTTTTATAGTTAAGTATTCTATTAAAATTATCTTCATTAGTTTGATTATTTAAATTCAAATTATAAATTTGTTAATTGTTATTATTTAGTATAGATAGAGAAAAAAAAAAAAAATTCTTTACTTCTAAAACATCCTCTAGTTAATTATATAATTATAATTAATAACAATAAAAAATTAACAAAGTAACGTCTATTACATCGGCTTTTACACGTCATTCAGACATACTCTAATCCTATATATAGAATAATCGAAGAGATAATATATATAATAGTTAGAAAAAAGATAGAAAGACAGAACCATGTACTTTTAATCAAACTAATAGAAAGAAAACAAAAAGTTTTGTAAATAAGGTAGATAAGATTGTTAGTATATATATATATATTTTTATAATTTTATATTTTATTCGTTTTTTTTTTTTTTTTATTAAAGATTTTTTAAATTTTTTTATTTTAAAATATGAATATAAAAAGTTGTATTTAGTAAAATATCTATAATATGAATTAACTTTTATTATAAGTTTGGTTATTATGTTTTGAAACCCTAATGGTAGACCAGACATATACAAAAAACTTAAATTGGAGTAATTATTGAAAAAAGAGGTCTGCTGAACCGGGACTTCTCAAATAGAAATTCAGCTTTTCAACATTTCATCCCTCAAGGGATGAAATGTTGAAAAGCTGAATTTCTATTTGAGAAGTCCGGTCAGCAGACCTCTTTTTTCAATAATTACTCCAATTTAAGTTTTTTGTATATGTCTGGTCTACCATTAGGGTTTCAAAACATAATAACCAAACTTATAATAAAAGTTAATTCATATTATAGATATTTTACTAAATACAACTTTTTATATTCATATTTTAAAATAAAAAAATTTAAAAATCTTTAATAAAAAAAAAAAAAACGAATAAAATATAAAATTATAAAAATATATATATATATACTAACAATCTTATCTACCTTATTTACAAAACTTTTTGTTTTCTTTCTATTAGTTTGATTAAAAGTACATGGTTCTGTCTTTCTATCTTTTTCTAACTATTATATATATTATCTCTTCGATTATTCTATATATAGGATTAGAGTATGTCCTGAATGACGTGTAAAAGCCGATGTAATAGACGTTACTTTGTTAATTTTTTATTGTTATTAATTATAATTATATAATTAACTAGAGGATGTTTTAGAAGTAAAGAATTTTTTTTTTTTTTCTCTATCTATACTAAATAATAACAATTAACAAATTTATAATTTGAATTTAAATAATCAAACTAATGAAGATAATTTTAATAGAATACTTAACTATAAAACTATACAACTATTTATTTTTATAATTAATTTAGATTTAGCTTGCTAATCTAACCAAATCTACTTGATATGATTTATCATTCTGATCAGATTGCTCCTTAAGTTTTAAATGTAGTATCACTGTTATATTTTTATTATATAGTTTTTACACTATATATATAAATATATATATATATATATATGGTAATTTAAAACAACAACCTCATATGGTGTAGATAACTTATAACAAGATTGCCATGTTGTATATAGGAGACACATCTATAAGTAATTATGCGCATGATTAATCTGTGTCTTTACATCACCCTATGTAATGTAATTTGTACAAAGTGGATAAATAAATAAAATCTGTAATAGATTTAAGAGTTGAGCTAAAGCAGAGATCGAGCATAGTATTGCCAAAACAACAGTCTAAAGATGGAACTCATAAATCAGGTAGATTTACAATTCCCACAAACGAGGCCACCCACACTGTCACATGTGGTGGAATGCAGAGACCCCTCTCACACCTGGACATGCCAAGGCCCCCCTTTTCTCAGAAACGCTCATGTCACATAAGGTCACCCCGTCTTTAACCTATAAATCATCACCTTACAGTGGCTTGACAGCTCAGTACAGTTCAGTCAGTTTATTTTAGTTCACCCTTAGCGCAAGCCGCGTCGGTCGTACCTTATGTCGATCTCAACTATCATGTAGACGAGTAAGAAACTTCTATGTCTCCATCTTTCGCTCCTGGCTCAACTTTTATCTGTTTACGGAACTTTCTTAGTGCAACTGTGTCTTCGTTTTTTGTGTGGATATCCCCAGCTTTCCACTCTGCCCTCGACCACGACTGCCTGTATTTTGTGAGAACTTTTAAAGGTCTTCCAAGGTGCAGAGAGGTACTGGAAAACTCTACATCCTGACTGTTCCTCTCGGTCAACACAGTACAACAAGAGCTACCAGGACT